CAACTGAGGTCAGGTGTACAAAAAAGTATACGCGATGTACACTAATTTCATGCATCAAGAGACACCAACCTATTTTTTATGACTATTATATCCCTGATGACAATATTCACTCTTATAATATTGTAGAGAATTGAATGGAATAAAGTCTCTATTTCATTTAAAATATAGTAATTTTAAATAACAAAAAATATGAAAGAAAATAAAAATAGAAAAGCAAGAGTAGTTGACTACTTTTGTAATTTGAGTTTATTTTTTCACTAGTTTCTTTGACTTTTGTGATAGATATCATAGACCTTTTTGATACTTGATTTTTGAAATTTTTACATTTAGACATTTGATATTGTAAAAATGATGCTATGTACTTTTAATCCTTCACCTACATCATAGTAATATCTTTTATTGTTCATCCATTGTTTCAAAATCATATTAGAAGTTTCATTTAAAAGTAATCATGATTGAAAACAGAAATTTCTAAAAATACCTTTTTATATTAAGGATACACCATATGAGAGACATTTAAGGGTGGTAAATATGATCAATTGAGCATGAATTTGAATTCGTAATGACATGGTTTTAAACAGGGATGTTTACCTTAATAGGACTAAAACATGACTTTTTCTCCATAATAGGACCAATTACTTTAAACATTCTTAAATATGACTTTTTATTTATGATTGGATCAAAATATCCCATTGCTGCCCGGAATGCGGCGACCGGACCAAAAACCGGTTCGGTTAATTAATTAAAAACCCGGAAATGGTAAAAAATCAGAAAATCCGGCCGACCCGGCAAAACCCGATCCAAAACTGCACTCTAAATAAACCACATAACCCTAAAAAAACCCAGTTTTGATTGTTTCTCCATTTCCCTTTTCTTTTAAAGCATTTTTAATCAATAAAATTGCAATTTCTATACTCTAAAAAGAAAAAAGTATGCGAAATATGTCTATACTACTGATTTGTTTAAGAATAAAATCGTGTGAAATTATATAATAAATATCTAATAAAAATAACAAATATGGAGTATCATTACATATTTTAATAAAATCGAAGTGATATTTTGGAATATTATGAGACTTTTTAACTTTTATGTGTTTAGTAAGTATTATTATTAGTTGATTGTTATGAAATAACTATCTTTTATTTTAATTTTGTATACAATTATATGTTTATTCTTGTTAACTGGTTGATCGGTTTTATAGTGATGGCGGGTTGACGCGGCCGGGTCCAGGTTGATCCATGACCTGGTCATGCGGTCGAGTCGCTTTCCGGTCTGGTTTCTTAAACATAGCATCAGACCAGACTTTTATGAATGAAAAATACACAAAGATTATGTTTGGTATGATGTAATCAACCATGTAATATTATAAGCATTACGTGTTGATTCGAATAAAATGTTTGATATGTCATTTTATTTTAAACCGTAATATAATTGGCATTGTATATGTGGAAGTCATTACTTTTACATGTGTAATTAGAATTACATTGAGACTATGTTTGGTATAACGTAATGCAATGCAATGGAATGAACTGCGTAATGCAATACAAAATATAATGGAATGGAATAAAGTCTCTATTTCATGACAATGTTTGGTTAAACTTGGGATGTAATGGTCTGGAAGAGCCTGACACTATATGGATGTCTTTTGGTGATGTGGGCACAGCTAGTGGTACGATGTTGTTGTCTGTTTGTCCAGTGAAAGGCTAGGTAAAGGCATATGACTGAATCTTCCATCCAGGCCGGTAGTTCATTTTTAATAAGGACATCTAATAAGATGTAATGTCAAGAAGAAAAGTGGAATTGGAACGGAGCTTGAGAGCTTCTCTCTCTAAAACTTTGGAGTTTCCTAGGGTTTATGCCGTGACCGGGCTAAACTTGCAAGTGTACAAGTGCCGATATAGTAATAAATTCCGGTAAAATACCGGGTCGAATTCACAGGGAAACGTTGTTTAATTTAGTCCGAGAGTAGTTGACTTTAAATAAATAAACGAGTAAAGTGTAGGGATTTTGATTTGTGTGTTGTTGTGAAAACAACAACTTGGTTCTTCCTTTTTTAATTTTCAGGGATATTACTTTAATTAATTTGAGTTTAAGATGAATGATAATAATGGCTAAGGCTTCGGGAATCACTTAAATGCTTTCATAGGGTTGAATATTAGTTCTTTACCAATAATTATGAATATGATGTCGCTAATATATTCTCAACTCCGGTTAAGGCAGCGAGAGCGTGGTTTTCGTTACGTGTAAGTCCCGTTACGGCTTACATTCATCTACCGAAACCCCCGTTGAATATCAAGACATCACACCCGTATCATATAATACCGGATATATTTCTATTCTCGGTAATATACTCCCTCCGTCCCAAAATCGTTGGCCAATGTTGACTTGCACGTGGATTAATAAAGTAAAAACTGTGTGGTTAAAATTTGTGCAGAGGAGAGAGAATTAACTTTAGCCACATATTCCTTACTTTAAATGGAAATGGCCAACCTTTTTGGGACGGCCAAAAAAGGAAATTTGGCCAACCATTTTGGGACGGAGGGAGTATATGTTTATCCTTTAATGTTCATAGTTTAGACTTCAACGTTAATTGCAAGTATAAACTAAATTTAACATACTTCTATGTTGTACACCATAGTCATAAACAATCAAAATGTAAAGGATAAATCACAATTTATTGGTTTAGAACTTTTATCAAACACCTAGTGGGCATAGAAGTTCATCCCTAGCCTTAGCTAAGAACTTAGCCTCTAATGCTCATATTAATTACAAAAGTGTAACTAAGAACAATGAAATACAATAACATACAAGAAATAATACCTAGAACCAATTGTAGAGGAAAGAAATGGCTTCTTCTCCAACACTTCAAGAAAATGCAAAAAGGAAATATAAAAACTGAATTTTAATCTCCAAGAATGGAATGATGATCTTGTTTGATGAATTGGGGGCTTTATATAGGCTAAAGATTGGCATCTTTTAGTCCATTCGAGCCCAACAATCAAGCATGGAAGAAATATTTGATCAGATCATAAGGAAAGTGGGTTTTTCCCATCAAGATCTTGCTGCACGTCTCCATGTTTTGTGCAGAATCGGGATTAACCGGCGCCGGTTTTAGGCCTGACCGGCGCCGGTTTTACTTCGCAGCTGAAAACTTGTTGAAAAATGGTATAACCGGCGCCGGTTATAGGGGTGGACCGGCGCCGGTTGATCTTCGGTTCACCGTAGTAAAGCTTTTTAAATAAAACCGGCGCCAGTTTTAAAGCATGACCGGTGCCGGTTTTCCCCTGCACTGCAATTCTTCATTTTTCGCTCCGTTTTACGCCCGTGGTTGACCCCGAAGTGTCAGTTCTCGGCCCCTTTCGATTGTTGACTCCTGTGTCTTCATCTTTGACGTATTTGTGCGGTTTTTACTCAAAATGGGATTTATACCTGCTTTGTCTTTGAATATTTGTACAGATAATCATAATTACCTATATAAAATATAGGTAGCTATTGTGCTTATCACGCCGCTAGGTTGAGTTTTTCCGTTTTCGATCTCCCGATCGAAGAACAGTGGTTCTCTGGGCTTGGTGATCTAGTTTCTGGTTTCGGTCCCGAAAGAGAGGAGAGGAGAGCTTGAAGGACTCGGACATCGAGAGCGAAGGAAGTTGACTGCAGATGAAGATGACTGGAATCGATAAGCAGGAGATTGGAGGACAATTTCACGCAGATGAAGAGAGCCGAGCAGTGCAAGATACGGAAAAATTGGCGATGGTTGATGCTGACGAAGGGGCGGTCGAGTTGGAGGTAAACCGCCTTGGTGCAATAACATTTGTCACAAGAGTCCGGCCTCCTCCAGAACCACCACCAAGGGTTGATCGACGCGGTTTGGAGTTTGATTATTTGTTTTTTCTGCACTTTAATTTCCAGGTTAACACGTTTGTGTGTTGCTTTATTTTATGCTGTAACACTCTTGCATTAGGTTTGGGGGATGAGAGATCTGCGGTAACCATCATTGACTTTTAGTTGCCCAATTCAGGTCTAGCGAGCTATACTGCTTTTTTATAGGTGGTTAACTTTCAGTCTCGCCCATGGGTGGATGGTTACGTTATATGTGGTTCTTTTGTTATCCTGTACCCCTGCTGAGTGCTGTGAATTTAATTTAAGCCATCTATTTGACGATAAAAAAATAAGATGTAATGTCAAATACACATGTTTTTTAATGTAATTATAATTACATATGTAAAAGTAATGACTTCCACATATGCAATGCAAATTACATTACGATTTAAAATAAAATGATATATCAAACATCGTATTCGAATCAACACGTAATGCTCATTATATTACACGGTTGATTACATCTGTGTTCCCGTCCTAAGCTCCTGTCCATAATAATTTTCTCTTTAAAATATGAAAAATGTTTGGTGCAGCAAATTCAAGTACCAATTGCGGAGTTTGTTAATTATACAACCGGCTATATGGTGAGCACCGTACAGTGAACCCAGTAACAGGCCCAAGAGAAAAATAGCAAAATAATTCGGTGACATTTTTGTAATTAATATGAAAATAATGGTTTTTGCTAAATGAGCATTAGTGTAATGATAATGAGCAATAGTCCAATTTTAATGTCTATTAAGCGTCTAATAAGAGCACCTTGTTATTACAAGAAAGCTGATATCACAACTAAAAACGGCGGCAATTTCGTAATTTCAGTTAAAATCGCGGTTTTCGTCAGATGAGCATTAAACACTTCTAATGAGTATCAAACCTGTTGTGTTGAGTATTCAGAGTGTGATATTGAGCATCATGATCTCTGATTCATATCTTTTAATTCATTTTCGTTTTCTTATGTTTTCTTTAATAAAAACCATTAAATTATATCTATAACCAACTATTATGAATTCCAATATGATAATTTAATTTAATATTGCACTTCTTAAATATGCATTGATATGAAAATCGTACGTTCTTCTAGTTGAGTATCAATATATTTTCATTGAGAATTAAGCTTAATTTATTGAGTATTAAAAACATGCAATTGAGTGTTATGTCCTCTCTTATCATGTCTTCTTCTTCACTTACATCTTAAAATGAGCTACCATGTCTTTTACTTCACTTACATTTTGAAATGAGCATAATATTGTACCAAATGAGCATACATGACTTATAAAATAAGTATCAGAAAATTCAAAACATTATTTTTTTTTTGCGAGAAATTGTATGCTAAAATAATATTGTATGATTCACCATCCGGTTCTCATCACATATGTACTCCGGTATGAATTCCGCGAGTTCCCTGAATTTGTGTTCAAGTTGCCTCACCGTCATTTTGCCACCTTGGGTGAGGAGGGTATACTCTCTTCTCTTAGCGTTCACCTCAAAATCAGAATAGTATTGGGCAAAGAACTCTTGTCGGAAATTCTCCCAAGTAACAGTATTGCCATACTTTCCCTTGGCTCCGTCCCACCATGTGGATGCCATCCCTTCAAGCAATCTCACCGCCACCCTTAGTTTAAATTCGGGGGTGAGTTGCATATCAAGGGCTGCTTCGTTCAACCTCTTCATCCATTCCGCGGCGACCGAGATGTCGCCTGCTCCGTTGAAGGGTTTGCACCCCAAGTCTCTCGCCTCTTTGAGAAATTTTGAGATCCTTATGATTGGACCTCCATCACCCCAGCCCCCATGTGGTTCAATGTGGGCCCTAGAGTCGCCATGGCTCCTTCCTCTTGAAGCCCCACCCGAAGTTCGCCCTCCTCGGCGCCTTCGGCGTTCCCTCCTTTCCTCGCGCTCCCGCTGATATTGTTGGAGCAGCGCCTCAATTCTTGCTAGGGAGTCATTCCCCCCCTCTTCATCGCTTACATCATCGTCATCCCCTTCGTAAGGGGTCTCAACCGGCTCGGTTTCCGGTTGGTAAGTCGAGTCCTCATAGGACCAGTAGGTTTCATCCTCGGTGTCAACATGACCGTCGCTCACCGTGTGCGATCGGCCCCCACGGCTCGCCCTTCTAGACACCCTAGAGGTCCCACGGCTTCCCTGCCCGGTCGCCACCGGTGCACGGCCCGTCGGGTTCCTTCTCGTAACCTTGCCACCACCGTTCATTTCTGAAAGAAATTCGGAAAGAGTCATTAGACTCGTATCAAATGTCAATTGACGGATAGGTACTTAAGACACATTTTGGCTTGAGTCACCGCCATACCAATTGCTAAGGGTACCATCTTAACAATTAGAGACCTTGCAACCCAAGTACCAAAAGCTCTCCAAGTACAAAACTTCTATGCTCATGGTTTTCAAAATCTTTTCAAAAAAGAGAATTTTGAGACTTCATTATGAAGTATGGACTAAGGCTCTGATACCAACTTAATGGTCACGCCCCGGACCTATCCGGACACGTCAACAACCCGCCGTACAATATGAATAGTCAACCGCAGTCCAACACATTCATAATATACAAGGCGTCTTGAATATCATTCACACATATACATCCATAAACAAACATAATAAGTAATTCATAACGCAGCGGAAAACATTGTTTAAAACAAAAGGGCCACACAGGGCTATTCATGAGCACGCAGGCTCTATAGTAAAATATCCATGAGCATGTTTAATATTGTTCAACACAGAATGGAGAAAGCACGAACCACGTCTTCTTTCCAAAGGATCACCCGAGCAACGGGCACAGGTAACAAGCTCAAGCCTCAACCTGAAATGGTGGTGGGACGCCCCCGAAGGGATCAGTACTCTATACGGCTATAAAGTACTGGTGTGGCAGGCATCTAATAGATATACAACAAGTATTTCACACACAAGACCCTCAAATAGGGTGATAATATAGTATAGGCTGTAATCCCAAATTACCCCTTTCAAAATATATACTTACTTTATATAAAGTCAAGTAGTCGGCTCAATGGCCCATATTTGTTACAAAACATTTCCCAAACCCCGTGACTAATAGTCACGACAATACATAGGGTCCAACCCTAATATAACTTCTCCTCTCTAGAGTTCGGCTCGAGTACATCATCATGCACTCGCATCATAGATCTCCTACTTCATACATTCACCCCATAGATCTCCTACTTCATATAATCACATCATAGATCTCCTACTTCATAAAATCACACCATAGATCTCCTACTTCATACAATCACGACATAGATCTCCTATTTCATACAATCACGCCATAGATCACTTACTCTATGAAATCACAATTGACACTTGAATCTTATTCAAGTTCATCACAAACAAACTCAACCTTTAAGTTTGATTCTATCAACATTTAGAACAATCCTTAACTAGCATCACAATACTATTAAGATTATTCCTACAACTCATTTATCATTAATGGTAGCCCCTCCATATCAATAGATATGTGGCAGCCTCCCATGTGCTAAGCATCATCATGCAATTATACATTTACATACACATAACATTCATACATGAGTTGGAAGGTCAATTTACCATATTAGCATACTTTTATCTCACATGACTCCATATTCATCAATATGGTTTCAATTCATGATCAAGTCCATTACTTATCATTCATATCATGTTCAAGCATATTTATTCACAAAAACATAATTCAAGCATTTAGGTAATCTCATGCATAACCTACAAGTTGTAAGCAACTAGATGTCGGTCCTCACCTCAAACGAGCTTTAAAACTTTCCTTCTCGCTCCAACGACCAAAGCCTCGGCCAAGAAGGCTTGAGAACTGATTCCTTGCTTGGAATTGAGTGTTAAACAGCCCCCTCAAAGTGCTAGTTCAACTCCCAACCGAAGACGCAAAAACAGTCCCTAGAACGGGTGTTTCCCGACGAATTCGTTCCCTAACCTTTCAAGGTTTTGTCTAGGTTAGTATCTAACCTTTCCAACAATTAAAGTCACATAATAATAACATTTTATACACTTCAATCAGTGTATAATAGTTCTTCAATCATTTATATGATGTAGACAATAGAGAGGAAGGTTTTGGATTCAAACTTACTTTGAATACAAAAACGTATTCTGCGAGGTCGTGTTTTGCTCGGTCGATTTGGAAGCCTTCCACTACTCCGATTGATGCAAACCAGACCTTCACGGATTCCTCGTCTTGAGATCTTTCTGTTGGTATCTCGCACGCCTTATTTGGATGAGTAAATATCAAGTTATGGCTCAAACAATCAGAGCTACGCACTGAAGAACGAACTTGCGGACTGCTCTCCTCCTTCCTTCTCTCTTGGGTTGTGTGGACTCCCTTGCTCTCTTATCTCTTTGGGGGTTCGAATGGGGTGTAGGGGGAGTGTATTAGGAGACCCTAAACATGCTAAAAGAGCATGTGGCTCACAAAAGAACATGGGAGATATTTGGTTTGCAATCAAATATGGGGTGGACCTCCCCCTTTTGTTTTCTCTTGGAGTTTTTGCACATGTGAGCCAAGAGTCCGCCCCATATAGTCTTCTCACCTCTTTTCATTTGTTTTGCAGGTACTAAGTCCATGTGTAATGGTTCCCAATTTATCCCATTCATCTTGGGGTCCAAAATATCTACCAATACTTCCAAAAATGTAAAGATGGGTCCTATTGTTTTATCTTTTGTCAAAGATGTCTTTTTGTACTCATCCTAATTTATTTAGAACAAGTCAACCTCCTACATCACATTATTGATCTCCAATATGTGTAGGCTCATCTCAATAATTTACTTGATGGATATCATAGAAGGAAAGTCATACTCCCATTATTTAGCTCAATAATGCCAAAGATGGGGCTATAGACATTTGTATTCCTCTCTAATCATTCTATCACTTATTTTGACATTTGTCATACATATTATTGGACTACTATCCGTGTGGGTCACTCCCGATTGGGTCTAGGACGCCATTCTCGAATACTTGCTATTTTTAGCAGGTTGGGCCCAAAATAACGTTTGGGCCGCCCGACCTTCCTCGAATTGTCTTGAAAGATTATGTATCACTATATAGATAATGTTGGGCTCTTTTTATTTATTAATAAGTCCCAAATAGTATTTGTATGTCCGACACTAATATACGAGTTCGAACAGTACAATAATCGATCATTAATTACGTAAAACACTAATCGTTTTACAATTGTTTGGGAATCAAAAATTCAATACATAAACTTTGAATTTTTTAAATCGAATTTTCAAGGACGTTCGGGTGCGGTGTCACACGTGGCCTGGTCAAGAGCTTTTGCTCTATCCTTGAAGGCTCGGCGGAAGTATGTATTCATCGATGGGACTCTCCGCAAACCAACCGAAGCGTCTAAGATTCTGGATTGGGACACAAACATCTCCATGATCGTTTCATGGATGTTGCGAAGTATGGAATCGGGCGTGGCAGCGTCCATACCTTTTCATGACGAGGCCCGCTCATTATGGCAGTATTTGGAAAAACGCTTCAGTGAAGCAAATGGCCCACGCCTTCAACAATTGCGGACGATGATTGCAGACTGCAAGCAGACCAAATCCATGACTGTTGATGCATATTTCACTACACTTATGGGGTTGTACGACGAACTGTATCGTCTCAAACCACCGCATACATGTACATGCGACAATTGTACGTGTGATGTTGCGGCCAAATACGCTGCGGATAGGGCGGAAGAGCAGCTGCACCAATTCTTGATTGGGATAGATGATGAACTTTATGGCACGGTTCGGTCGAATCTTTTGTCCCAGACCCCTCTACCGGATATTACTCGTGCGCACCAGGCTTTTCTCCAAGAAGAACGCTCGCGGTCAATTGCGCAGGGGAAGGCCCAAGCCGCCGAGATTCAGGCGTTTACTGTTAAGACCGATCATGGCAAAGGCAAACTGGATAAAGTTGACAAGTCTCGGCTGGTGTGCTCTCATTGCAAGCAGAAGGGTCACGATGTGAGTGCTTGTTTTAAAATCTATGGGTATCCGGATTGGTGGGAAGAACGTCACCGGAACAAGGCTGGACCGTCTGGACGAAGCTCGGCGGCAGGAAGCAAGGTACCCGCAGCAGTGGCTCGCAGCTCAGGGGGGGAGGCCCGTGCTCATGCCGTTACCTCTTCAGAGTCGTCTCTTGTAGCCGCGGCAGCACCCTCTGGGCCGAGTAATGACATCTACAATAATCTCCTCCAAGCACTGACACGGGAACAAGTTCAGACACTTTTATTCACGATTAATGCAGAAACCCGTTCCAATGATCGCATGTCTGGTACGTATACTACTTTTGATTGGATAATTGATACCGGTGCTTCCCGACATGTCACGGGTGATTTGAGCCGTCTTATTGACATTGTCAATATAAATAATTGTACTGTGGGTTTGCCTGAGGGACGCACCGTAACTGCCACTCTTGAAGGCCGTGCTTTGTTGTCTAAGGACATCGGTCTAGATCACGTTCTTTATGTTCCCAAATTAAATTGTCACCTTATCTCGGTCTCTCAATTGACTGATCAGCTGGCTTGTATTGTCACCTTCACTAATTCTTTATGTGCTATACAGGACCTACCCTCGAGGAACCTGATTGGAGCCAGTGAGCGACGGGATGGGTTGTTTTACTTCCGACGTGTGCCTGTTCTACATGCTGTGCAAGTTCCTGGTGTGTCGGAGTTTGAGCTATGGCATCGACGGTTGGGTCATCCCTCAGACCGGGTTCTTAAATTATTACCTGCATTTAGTTCTAGTAATTTTACAAAATCTCTAAATAAAGCTTGTGTAGTTTGTCCACAAGCAAAGCAAGTTCGTGATTCTTTTCCTATTAGTGACAATAAAGCAACTCATATTTTGGAGTTAATACATTGTGATTTGTGGGGTCCTTACAAAAACTCCTTCCACCTGCGATGCTATTTATTTCTTGACTATTGTGGATGATTATTCTAGAGCTGTATGGGTGTATTTATTGCGTGCCAAGACAGAAGTGTACAAATATTTTTTCTCTTTTTTTGCTATGATTGGAACACAATTCAATGCATCTGTGAAAATTGTACGCAGTGATAATGGGACTGAATTTAAATGTCTGCTCCCTTATTTTAATGATCATGGTATTCTGTTCCAAACCTCTTGTGTGGAGACGCCTCAACAAAATGGGCCCGTTGAACGCAAGCACCGCCACATCCTTAACGTTGCTCGGGCTTTAATGTTTCAGTCTCATGTTCCTATTCACTTTTGGGGAGAGTGCGTTTTATCTGCGGTTTACCTGATTAACCGGACTCCCTCTGGTTTATCTGCAGTTCCGAAAGTAGCAATATTTTTGGAAGATTTAATCCGAAAATTGCAAGGTCAGTAACCTTCAAATTTACTAATTTGAAATTATTATCCTGTGAATTAATAGTACACTTATTACTTATTCCTTACCGGAGTTGTGATTTTGATATTGGATTTGTGAATTTAATTTGTTACCTAGTGAATTTAGTTATGTGTGTGGTTTCTGCAGGTACCAATGATTTTGCTCATTCCCATTTGTATGATATGATATTTTATATTTTAATACGACCTGTATAATTTTATTGAATTGCTGTCAGATGAGAAAAAATCGCAAGGTGAAAAGCAATTCCAACTCCAAGCTAATAAAATCACGGAAGAAGAAGTTGGAAAAGCTCAAGTTTTTTTTTTTTTTTTTTTTTTTTTGCAATTGGCAGTTCTGAAGTTTCTTTCATTAAATCATTAATTTTCCAAGTATTATTTGTTTCCATCAAAATATGTGGGACGTTCGTTTCAGTTAATTGTTTCACCCTCACTCAGGAGGACAAGGAAAAAGCTATCCTTTTATTTAAAAGCATGGAGACCTTGGCGTAAGAACTGCTTTTTTATAAGATCAACTTTTTTTTTTAATTTTCTTGTAATCTTCTTTTATTTTATGAGTTATTAGGAATTCATGTAATTAAAGTGGCAGTCTTTTGTTTTATATTGCAGGAAGTATAGGATTGGGGATGATGCATATTCACTTTTGATGTCCCCAAGAAACTTGGGCCAGGTTGGTAATATTACATCAAATCATTTTCACTAAACTCAAGCCATGAAGTGAAGTATTTCTTATTTAGTCCATCTGCTCTTGTTTTTATTAGGTTGAAACTAATCGGGATAAGAGAAGAAGAGAAGTTCAATATTCTAAAGCAGGACTAGAAGTGCCAAGTGGCGATCGACCCTTTAAGAAAAATAAGAACAATAATGCTAATAGCATTTTAAGTGATGCTGAACAAGAATATGGTGAAACTCAATCAACTTCTCCTGTCATCAATGACTATATATTGCGCGCACCAGTAAGCAAAGGAGAAACATTGCCTGAGACATCATCTTGTCTAGGAACCTCTAAACCTTATGTTTCCGATGGAGGTTGGTCAACAGTTAGGCATGCAACAACAGATGAATATAGTGAGCCCTCAAGGACTGAATCTCTGCGATACCCACCGTCCACCCCAAGTTGCGTTGATGATGGAAGGGCAGGATTAAAGGTTACATCTTTATCTATATATTATAATACTCCCTCCACTCTTAAAAAATGTCCATATAGGAAAAAATGTAAGGTTAAGGAGAAAATTTTTTTGGTCAGAAATTGAAAAAATGCACCCTTATTGATTTTAGGTAGTAAAACTAACAAGTAAACGTGAAGCAAACATGAAAGAGTAACTTAATCAATTTACTATGTTTTTTATTGGATTGCTTGATGGCCAGATGTTCGTGAAAGTGATTTAGGTAATATACAATTATTTGAATTATTTGAGATTGGGAGCAAAATGGCTCACTAAACTGTCTGCTCTTCTTTGTTATGAAGCAGTAGTCAGTCCATGCAATTTTGGACGCGATTTTCACTATGGGTCATCCGGAAATAGTCTCTCTGTGCTTTAGTACAGGGGTAAGATTGCGTACATCCGACCTCCCCTACCCCACCGTAGGTGGGAGCCTTTGCGGCACTGGGGTAAATGAAAATGAAAATGATGATTTGAGATTGGGAGTGTAGGGGAGCCTTGGCACACCGGTTAATTTGCGCTTTTTTAATTTGAGATTGGGAGTATATTATAAGCCTTAAGTTAAATTACCTATTACGCCTCAAAGCAAATTGCTTCTAAGCAATGTTGAGAGTTCTTTTGTTCCATGCTAGTTATTTGATATCAACTTATTTTTCCTTATGTAAATGACTTGGACAGCTTGAAATTGACAGAAAACAGAATGCTAACCTCACTGCCTGTCCACCCCAAAGGTCTTTAATTGCCCCGACTGTAGTGCATGTTTTTAGACCAAAAGAGGTTGAAGACAAAAGGAAAGACCTTCCAATAGTCATGATGGAGCAGGAGATAATGGAAG